CTTGAAGGACCGTTATCAGACTGAGACGATCGACCTGATGACCTACGCTGATTCAGCACTCGAGCTTCTCCATCTTGGATAGTGTTTTGTGTTTTCTAGTAGAGACTTATCTAGTACTTGACCATCAAAGGTTGCAAAAGGACAGTATATCTAGATAAAGAGGATAATGTATTGTCATAGATAAACGAGTCAGTGCTAATTCAGCTCCATTTAGGGGTTTACTGTTTATTTTAAATTATAGTGTATTTTAGTGCTAAAATGCGCATATTGATTCACTATTACATATATGAATATAAATTCAATCTAATTGCTGACTCCAGTATATCAATGTGACATAATTAATTTTATTTATTAATTAAACATAATCTTACATGATAAACATTAAATAATGAATAATAATATCAAATATTAATATTAAATAACTATTTTATAATACTTTTATGTGATAAAAATTGTTTTACAATTAATTAAGACAAATAGAAACTGTATCTATTTCATTATTGATAGTATCCTAATTACAAAATAAGTTGCCATTCTTAGTTGAAACAGACTATAACTTAAGCTTCAAAGGATTCCCTATATAAACACCTTCCTTTCAAGTTGGCAGATATAACGTAAATATACAAAACCGCAGAACCCGACCATACAACCACACAAAACAGAATTTACCCCCTTTTTAAATCTATGTGATTTCAATAATATAGTACCCACTGGAAAAGGGAGTACTACAACGTCTTTGTTCTGGTCTCAGGCGGGGAGTCCGGCCACCCGACGTGGCTCCTGTAGTGCTTCCGGTTCCGGCGGTGCTATTGAATTAAATCTAACTAAATTAATAAAACACATACTACTCAGAACAAAATTCAGTATAAAAATAAAAGACTAGCCTCGCTCCCATCCCACCCATCATCCCTCTAGATACATAAAGAACGTAATATAGAACGAATGGAAGACCACTCGCCCAATATAGGTAAACCCCAGCACATTTACTCTAGGACCTCCTTACCGCCCCTATCATAACCATTAACAAGCACTTTCACTATAAAAATTAAAAATGTCGAGTGGAACAATAGTTGATGGCTTGGAGTGGTATATTGTGAACGAGGACATTTGTGTAGAATTGAAAGAGCATCGGAAGGAGGAAGCACAAGTCAAGAGATATGATTGGACAACAAAAATAAATTGCACCTGCACTAATTACTAACACTAATATACAGTCCGTCGGATGGGACTTAAAAATGTCGGGTCCCGTGTGAAGGAGGGGCCACCTTTGCACGCTAAAGATCCCCCTGAACTTTTCGTAAAAGAGAAGGCTTATTGCAAGCCGGTCCAGGGGCTCTAGCTAGACTAGTAGGTAAGATTAAGTTAGGGATAATGTCATTTTTGGACAGACCTTCCAAATTATATTTTTATTTTTTTGATTCCCGCGGAATCAACGCGTGTAGAATAGGAATTCACCAGATTAAGTGCGCTATGCACAACTTTTTCAGTAACATATCATCAAGGCTAGCACAGGTACCAGTATAGGCTAGAAACTACTATATAACCTTGATGATTTAATTAAGACCATAAAACTAAATAGGATAGCATCAGAATTAAAAATTAGAAGTGCACCTCAATTAAACATGTTCCTCAAACATTTTATATCTAAATAAATCCCCAGGGCCAGCGCCTCCGGGCAGTCGTAAGACCCTCAGGATTGGCTCATTAAGTCAATCACCCCTATCTAGAGGTGACACAATATTTGGATTAATAACATAGGCCATAAAAGGATCCCCCAAATAATTCCCTTATCATCCCCACCTCCTCTCCAAATCCAGACGGAACGCACAGCGAAGATAACCGGATCACCGGAAGCAGACCATAGGTCGCACCATCGGTTAATGACTTTTTAGGCCCCCCCAAGTCGCCTTTCAAATTTATAGTTACGCGACGCTAAGTTAGGAGTTAGGTACAGGCGACTCCCCCCTCTCTACCTCCCTTTCCCTTCCAGTCTTCTACAAACTGTACCCTTTCTACTCACTCCTATCTTTTCTCGTCCTCTGAAAGGCCGAAAGGCCATAATAGAGGACGCTAATCTCTTAATAATAATAATAAAAAGTTGGCAGAGTTGGTGTTCCGGGAATGAGTCACACCAACACACACGACCTCAGGAAAACAATACGAGAAATACACCTAAGGGAGGACGGTGGTAGTGTCTTTGTCTCAAAATGGAACATTTAAACGTCACTATGTCTAAATTGTACAACATATTTTAATGAGTCATTTAGATATGCAAATCAGATTTTACCCGATAATTCCGGTCTATCCTAGATCAGATACTACATATTATAAAAAAGTGAATAACAATGAGCAGAGAGGTTACTTTTTTAATCTGCGAGTGATTGGAACATAAATAACTGCAGTTTTAATAACTACCTTCATATCTTATATTAAACCTTTTTCATAATTATTGAGTATGTGTGTGTGTGTGTGTGTGTGTGTGTGTGTGTGTGTGTGTGTGTGTGTGTGTGTGTGTGTGTGTGTGTGTGTGTGTGTGTGGAGAGAGTGTGTGTGTGGGTGTGTGTGTGTGTGTGTGTGTGTGTGTGTGTTTACTGAAATCTGTATTGAGGTAATGTTAAAAACACATTGTAATTTACGGTATATTAGGATATTCACACAAATTAGATTCAAATCAAACACAACTCGACATACTAAACACGTAAGCATGTATACCGACAGACAGATAGACAGACGAAACCTTCGGGCCAGGCGAACTTGAATAAAATACACACATAAACTGTACCACAACACTAAAAGAACTGGGATAAAATACTAAAAGATGTAAAAACAAACAACAAACAAACACTACAGAAGACAAAATAAAATAAACAAACAAACCGGGAAAATGGCCACAGAATGATGTACCTCAAAACTAAAATAACTGATTAAACACAAAATATGACACTTTCAGTGCACTAGAAACAAGCAACGAATAATGTTGTTTCGTCGACTTAATGGATACCTTAACCTTTTTATTTATTCATTATATACAAAGTATTCTAAATATAGTAACGTGTTATACACCTCCTCTGTCTCCCTTTCTCTCAAAACTTGTTTATAATTGTTTATTATTATATCATACTGCCACCCTGTAAATCAAACGAATTAATAAATAAACACACATTATGAACGTCAAGTCTGAAACTCGAACTTTTAATTCACTAAGGTTTGCGAAAATTTTAATTTCTTTAAATTATATAGTCATAAAAAATATCCTATATTGACTGTAGGGGATACATAATCTATTAAATCAGATATTGTAGTTAAATGATGATTTTTTTTTTAAAATCTTCATTTCAAATTTCATTTGAAATAGCACAGTTACAAAATCAAGACGAAACATGCTAGAGTAATCTATCATATGATTTAACACAAAGCAGATACTATCTACCCGCAGGTCAGTAGGAGTTGCGCCCCCTGAAGCATTTGTAACAGTCACCACATTCCAAAGGCTGTTCTATACATCCAGTCGCATGGTGTAATAAGACGATCTGTTTATAAACTTATACATCTCAGCTAAATAAAAATTAAGTCAACGTATATTAATCAAATCTTTGAATAAATTAATAATAAATTTTCAAAACAAATTCAAGAAAAAACTTCAAATGTGTAAGTAATATCAAATTTTGACCAATATTGCGTGCATTTTAGAAAAGCGGAAGTAGGGTTAGTCACTGTTTTGGTATTGAATGGTCGACTTCCGTGGAACTCTTAACAGGGAGAAAGGTAAATTAATAAGGTATTTTTACGGATTGAAGTTAGATTTGGTACATCAACAATACACAGCATAAATGTCGTGTGTTAATAAGACGATTTGGGAGCAGGTGTAAGACGAAGATATCACCCGATTGGTCAACCGGTGCTTGAGAAGTAGATAACGACAGTCTTTTTAATTCATCGGTTTTGAGGGAGGGGTCACTCTGGGCCCCGTCATTTTGATTTGATGGTTTCACCACTTTCCTCGTTAACATTATAGTACATATGGATTCGGAAAACTGATAACCATTTCTTGTTTTTATCAACAACCTGTTTAATAAATGCACGAAGACCTTAGGCCAGGTTATTACTGAATTACCAGCGGCAGCCTAGAACCCTAGTAATTCTGCATCACCCCCTATCAAGTGTGATATAATATGAACCATCTTTATCACAAGCTCTGGTTTATCAAATTTTGTGTTCGTTTCCATTTGTCTTTTAATGGGGGCTATCTGTTTGCACTGACCACTAATATTTTTGGGAAAAATGTTTTGAAATAAAATATGGTGCTTCTGACAGTTTAAATCAATATTGACTGTCTAGATTTTAAATGTGAATGTAATTGTTGCTGATCTTTAAGTGTAAACATACTGAAAGTGAATTTTATGTTATTGTTACAAGAACTTACTAAGTCCCTTGATTATAAGGAGACAAGTACTGTAATAATGATACAGGGTTGTAACACAAATATGATGTGATAGAAAATTCAATGTAGCCAACTAGCCTGATTTTGTTTGGTCAGTCTGATATTAGCCAATTCATGATCAGCGTAAATCATGTTAAATGCTAAAATCAAATGACATTTCTTTATTTTTGATCTGTATTTGAAAAAAGCGACAAAGTAGCATTGATTTTTGTGGGTTTTATTTTAGGCAAGTCTAAAACACCAATTCCAAAAATTTGATGAGTTCCATTACTAAGAGATGTAATATGGGCATGTAACTGACTTACGGTTGTTTCCACAATTCTTCCTGTAACTTTGCATTATCTCACTGATGTCATGCCAACAAGAACTGATTTCAATAATGGGATGTACATGTAAACATAGTATTCCGTACTAAGTGGTTGGCTTTTTTGAAAATGAGAAGCTTATTTTAACTTGTTACATTGAAAAGTGCCCTACTAGTTATATCCATGTATATTTTCCTGAGTGTTGAACTTATATAATTTGATATTGTTGATTTTGTTTGATTGACAGGTTGGGATTATAGTTGAATGATGAGTACCCTAAGCCCCAATGGTTTGGGGACCCTACAGATTAAATGGGATCCCAAAAATTTGGAGATTCGTACCAAATCAGTAGAAAAAACACTGGAGCCCTTGGTCACACAGGTAAGATTGGTGCACACATGAATAACAATTGAATGTTTAATTATTATTTGAGTTTGCTAATGATAGAAATTTCCTTTTTTTTCCAAAGTCAATTGCAATCACCTTTATCCAGCATTGTGCATCCACAAACAATTGAATATTTTCCACTTCTCCTCAAAAACCCCTGATCCAATTTCAATAAAAGTTTGCAGAAACCTTCTCTTGCCTAGGATGAACCAAAATTGCGAATTATACATGAAGAGTATTTGATTCTACCATATCTGGGTCTTGAGATTAAGATTTTTGAAATCTGTGTCAATTTGATCCATTTTGGCCCTGTCCCTCAAGCCCCTGTGGAGTGGGGCCAAAACAGATAAAATTGACTCAGATTTCAAAAATCTTAGTCTCAAGACCCAGATATGGTATAATCAAACACCCTTCATGAATAAGAGCATCTTAAGGTGCTTTACCAAACTTGTGAATTTCATGGTCCAAGGGTCTCACATTTCCCCATGCGGAGGGGTTAAAGTTTACTATAGTTTATGTAGGAAAACTAGATTTTTGAGCATTATTTGTTGAATTTCTATTGGAAATATTTCCAACTTGGTTAGAATTATGAGTGAAGGATGATTGCTTGTTGTTTTGCTCATATTGATCATGACTGACCCCAAAAAATGCAACATAAAGACGAAATACCAACTGGTCATTTTACAGGTGACAACATTGGTGAATCAAAAAAGCCCATCCAATAAAAAGAAGGGACGATCCAAGAAAGCGCACATCCTCAGTGCTGCTGTACAGAGAGCTACAGAAAACTTCATAGCCAAGGGACAGGAAATCGCCAATGAGAACCCGGATATCAGAGCTGATCTTATCGCAGCATTGGAGGAAGTTAAGAAAACAGGTAAGTAGAGAGAGTTTCAAGATGATGATGATAGAAGTACTATTTCCATATGATAGTTATAAAGCTGACGTATAGACGAATAATCTATTATCTCTACAGGAATGTTTACCATGTGTGAAATAAGGTCCTAATAGAGCTAGATAAACAATGGCTGTCATGTGACAAGAAACTCCATTTTTTGCTCATCCGGCCCAAAGGGCCAAGTAAGTTTAAATATTTTGTCATGGTGCGTTGTCCGTTAACCAACGTCAACTTTTTTCTTTAAACAACTTCTCAATAACCAATGGACAAAATATTTTGATATTTGGATGGTATTTTCCTCAGATGAAGCTTGATATAGTTTGTGAAAAGAAATGACCTTGACTTATATTCCAGGTCACAGTGGTCAAATTTGTTAAAATATTTAAACAACTTTTTCTCATGAACTAAAAGGCCTAGAGGCATGATATTTGGGTGATATATATACCAGGTGATTGCTGCAGGCCCATTTGGCCTCTTGTACTGTGGAATGTTTTGCTGTCATACATTTCATTGTGGTACATTTTGTTGTTGTACGTTTTGTTTTTGTATGTTTTTCTGTGGAACGTTTTGTTGTGGTATGTTTTTCTGTCGAACATTTTGTTTTTGTACGTTTTGTTTTTGTACGCTTTGTTTTTGGTTTTTGTACGTTTTGTTTTTGTACGTTTTTCGGTCGAACGTTTTGTTGTTGTACGTTTTTCTGTCGAACATTTTGTTGTTGTACATTTTGTTTTTGTACGTTTTTTTGTCGAACGTTTTGTTGTTGTATGTTTTTCTGTCGAACATTTTGTTTTTGTATGTTTTGCTGTCAAACATTTTGTTTTTGTACGTTTTGTTTTTGTACGTTTTGTTTTTGTACGTTTTTCGGTCGAACGTTTTGTTGTTGTAAGTTTTTCTGTCGAACATTTTGTTGTTGTATGTTTTGTTTTTGTACGTTTTGCTGTCGAACATTTTGTTTTTGTACGTTTTGCTGTCATACATTTTGTTGTTGGTGAATGGTTGATGGCAACATTACATTTGACAGCAGTTGAAGAACAGACACATGGGGGTTATATCACTTGGGGGGGAGGGGGCAAAGCAAAGTTACTCAGTAAAATATGCAGTTGACTCAATATGCCATGTCGCTCTAACATTAGGGAAACACTATTTACTACAGAAATGTGGGGTCTAGTGTAGTATACTTGGGAAACCAACAGAAAATTGTCAGGAAACTTATCTGACACAGTTACTCATCTATTCACAGATTTTGATTTTATCCTTATTGCAGGAGAGGAGATGAGAGATGCCTCCCAGGACTTTGCTGCTGATCCCTGTTCTTCCATGAAACGGGGTGCCATGGTGCGGGCTGCCCGAGCTCTCCTATCAGCTGTCACCAGACTCCTTATCTTGGCTGACATGGTGGATGTTCACCTGTTAATGAAATCTCTTCGACTGGTAAGTTGGACTCGTTGAGGCAGATATGACGTTGTCACATCTGTACATATGTATGCCTGTAATTGGACTTACTTATACTGGGGATGGCATTCACAGTTATCTTTTTTATGGAAAAGACAAAAATTTTTCAATTAACATTTGTCTGAAAAAAATTCAAAAAAAATATTATTGTTAATTTTTTATATCCTTGTGACTCAAGTGTCATTGTAGGTAACATTGCATGATTCATACTGAACATATACATCTCTCTGTGTAGGTGGAGGGTGACCTTGACCGTGTGAGGAATGCTGCTAGCCAGCAAGAGCTCATGGAAGGTTTCAAAGACTTGGGAGAAAGTCTGGCTGACTTAGCAGCTAAGGCTCAACAGAGACAAAATGTAAGTTCAGACGTCATATATAAGATATGTAGGCAAGTTTTCATAATAAACAGGTTTACAAGTATGGAATTATAATGTTCAGTGCCTTCTATGTGTTGTCAGCACCAAAACTTCTTTCAAGTGTCAGACAAACAAAATTGATACAGACATACCTGAACAATTCAAAATTAGACCTAAATGTAGCAAATTTATCACATGACTATTTTTGAAATCAAATGAGAAGCATGATGTACGCTCCAAACAGTAGAAACACAGGTAACTGGAAAAAAGCCCATGATGTACAATTTTGATAAAACAGTATCTATTTAAATAGTTACTTGCTCAGAATATCCCTTCAATGATGAACATGTGTTAATAATACATAGATTTTAGTAGTGTTACATACTGTTTAGTTGAATTTCGCAGGGCTAATATTTTGCAGTTGTCACAGTTTGTGTTAGTTCAGGAAATACACAGGTTTTAGTAGTATCATATACTGTTTGTTGAATTTCGCAGGGCTAATATTTTGCAGTTGTCACAGTTTGTGTTAATTCAGGAGCGTTAAATTTCCTCTATGTCTAAGAACTGATGTCCTTATGTACAAGCATCACAGATGTTTCCGAAATTTTGTTTGATTGTAGAAATGTTTACTTCATATTTATTGACTTTTAACACTGCCTTTATTGACCAGAATATAGCTAAACTATATTCTCAATGAGTACTACCAGCTAAACATAGTTAAGTATTTTAAATCTAATCGTATAAGACAGGTTTAGGTAATAAATTTAATGAAAATGTTGAAATGTTTTGATATTATGTTTCAGGATAATAATAAACGAGAAATAAGCACATGTGATGATGTCACTAGGGAGGTCATCGATTTAAATAAAAAAAATTTGAAGTATAGATTTTACTCACATGTTTGATGTGAAAACAAACAGCAGTGATAATTGTGACATGATGTGTTTTTGTAGGATCTGAAGGATCCTCGTAGACGGGATGAAATTGCAGCTGCTCGGGCTGTCCTCAAGAAAAATAGTATGATGCTACTAACAGCTTCCAAGGTAATGTTAATTTCTGATATTCTATATAGTGTCAATATTTCTCCTCTGTAAGAACTACTAAATGCTACAAAATATGTATTAATGATTAGTTATGGAAACAACATGGCACTAAAAAGTTAAAGGTCACCTGAGAAGTCTCATGGTGACTTATTCTAATCACCTTCTTCCGATGTCATATCTGTGAACAATTTAACATTTTTGACTTCTTCTACAAAACCACTGATCCGATTTCATTGAAGTTTTGCAGAAAACTTCCCTGACCTTAGATAAACCAAAATTGTGAATTATACAGTCCCCTTCCCTCCTGGGTCCTGAGAGGCAGGACCAAAAGTGGTCAAATTGACTAGGATTTCAAAAATCTTAATCTAAAGACCCAGATTGCTTTACCAAAACTGTGAAATTCATGGCCCAAGGGTCTGAAATTTCCCCAATGGGGAGAGGTAAAGTTTAATATAGTTGATATGGGAAAACTAGGTTTTTGAGCATAATTTGTTTAATTTCCCTTGGAAATATTTCAAACTTGGTTAGAATTATGAGTGAAGGATGATGGATTGATGGTATGCCCGTTTTGATCCTGACTGACCCCTAGGTGCTGATGGGCGGGGCAAAAAGGGGTGAAATTGACTTAAATTTCAATTATCTTCTTCTCAACATCCAGATATGATCTTAGGGTGCTTTAAATTACCAAAATGATTCCTACATTTCATCCTGGAGAGGAATATATTTTTTAGACTTCACTGTAATTTTCATAGAAAAATTGCATTTTTGAGCATAACGTTGGTTATTTCCCACTGTAAATAACTATATAAAAATTATCAGTATAGGATGAGAGTTTTGATGGTATACATGTATTGACATTGGCTTACTGTATTCAGTATCACAATTTCTGTTTCATAACACTTAATAACTTTCCTTTAACCTTTATTTTCAATATTGCTTACCTCGGGTGACCGTCAAGGCCGCTAAGCCTTTCATATGTTACTTTAATTCATTTGTATTTTTTCTGATAGGCTTATATTCGTCACCCAGAACTGGCTCCTGCTCGAGAGAATCGCGACTTTTCTTACCGTCAGCTCCTAGACGCTGTCAACACGATCTCCGGCGTAGCCCAGGCGTCTGGTGCTTCTGATGCTCATCCTTATGATGGGGCTGGAGAACTGGCTGCTGCACTTGATGAACTCATGGTACGATGGGGTTGTGTGTTGTTTCGTTTCTTATGTCTTACATTTATTATGACATGTTCTTTAATTGTAACTTTTTGGTGTGTTTCATTGTACATTTTTATTTTTTTACGCAATGGTCGTCTTAATTATGAAATTCTTTTGAATATCTCTTTGTAATTTTCAGCAAAAGATCATCATGGATCCGTTATCTTATAATGAAGTACGAACACGACAGTCCTTAGAGGAGAGGTTGGAAAGTATCATCAGTGGTGCTGCCCTGATGGCCGATTCCTCCTGTACTCGTGACGATCGCCGAGAAAAGATTGTACGAGAATGTAACAATGTTAGACAGGCACTTCAAGATCTTCTCTCCGAATACATGAATAATGTGAGTGTTGAAAATCTGTTGAATTCCTTCACCCAAGATACCAATTCTCTCACCCTAGATACCAATTCTCTGACCCTAGATACCAATTTCACCATAGAGACCAACTCTCTCGCCCTAGATACCAATTCTTTCGCCCTAGATACCAATTTTCTCATCCTAGATGCCATTGAGAAGGCAACCAACCAGCTTTACATTATTAAATTTGAATTAAATATTGAAAATGTTTTTTCAAAAGTTTTCAGCAAAAATATATCTGTTATTTTTAATATGTGTAAGACAAGTCATTATTTATATCAATGCCTCAACTTGGATTTGAACCCAGACCTTCAGGTTTACTAGTTTAGACGCTCAACCGATCAAGATCAAGAGAAATTTTCTCTATGCGTGTGGTATATTGCAGCTAGTATTTTACTGGGGTTACATATGAAATGGATAATTGTTTGTTTATATTATAAAAATATTGGTGTTTTTCTTTTTAGTTGGTCGTTTGTATATAGTAATGGTTTTGTACATTTGTATTCAGTTTTTGACTTTCCAGAGTGTTAATTTTTATTTATTTTTTCTCTGTATTATTGTGAATACATTTTATATACAGGTAGAAGTGAGCAGATTGTTGGGACTGTCTTTGTGTTTGAAGACAGATGTTTCCTTTTTGATGAGAAAGATTTTTGTACACAGATGGAATTAAAGGATATGAAAGAGACATTATACTAATATTTAATTCAGTAATAAAGCTTTCTTTATAAATCACTTTTTAACATGAAAATAACAAATTTTCTCACATCGGTTAAATGGAATTAACAGATAACCAATTTGTATTTTTAAAAAAATTACTGAAATGAGAAGCCAAGTTTCATCATAATTATACTTCTAAGATAACTTTCTAATCAGTGTTTTAAATGCTTACATGCTTACAATATCCACCATCGGATGTGTTGTTAACTAACTGATACCTCTGTATATTACTTTTTTGTCCATCACAGTGTCACGTACCAGCTTCCTTGTATGGAAAGTTGAACCCCTCCGTGGTTCAGCAAGTCATTGGCTTTCCAGTAAAATTTCAATCTTTCTTGGCATGGAATGCTAAAGTTCTTGCCGAGTTTTTGTCAAACAGCAATGTGTGCTCCTATTACTGCATATGCAAATTTGGGTCATTTTCATGATCGTGCATATTCATGTTCGTGTTTTCCAGTCATGCATATTCATTATACGTATCATACATATTCATGTATGATAAATTAACATTTCATAACCGGATTTAAGAATAAATATCTTGTAACATTAACGCATTTAACACCTCCATCTTCAGGGCTCAAGCAGCTGTAGACATTTGTTGTAGACAAGTTTGTTTTCTCAATTTTTGGTTGAAAATTGTTGTTGTTTTGATTTTTTTGGGTCATCTGAAGGGTCATGATGACCTATATCCATCGTGCATGAAAATGATCCTGCATGAAATTATCCTGAGATGGTCCTGACCAAGTGCTGTTATTTTTCGGGTATGTTTGAAATCCAAGATGGCCACCATCTTGAAAAAGATATTTTAAACTTCTTCTTCTCCAGTTGTACCATTGCCATTGAGCTAAAAATTGGTTTGAATGTTAAGGAAAGGTAGCCAACAAAGTGTTAATATTTTCCAACCTGGTCAAAACTTTGATACGGCAGCCAGGGAGGCCATTTGGTGACATTGCACAATCATGGTTTTCCTACGCAACAACTATTTCAAACTTCTTCTCAAGTTTCACCATTGCAATTGAACTGCAACTTGTCAGAAATGATCCTGAGATGGTCTTGACCAAGTGTTGTTATTTTTGGGGTATGTTTGAATGTTGGTTGAGCTGAAACTTTACTGACTTTTTTGAAGTCAGATGACCGTTGCGACCCATGGGACTATTGTTTAGTGTATTCTACCTGTTTTTTGTTTTCAGTCAACAATTTTTGAACAGAATGAGTTTTTCGGTTTTTTATTGAAGTTGTAGTGTGAGAAATGGTGTGACTTGGTGACAGAACACTATTTAGAAACATTCCACTCTCCATATTTGTTCAAGTTTTGATAATATTTGTGGAAATCTTGGGCAGTACAAATTCTGTTTATATATTTTCTTATCACAAATACAACCAACTACTTATGACCAGTTTGACAAAATTGTTTGATGGATATAGATACAAATTAGATCTTGAAATAAAATCGAGTTCAAATAACTGTCAATTCCTAGATGAATTTCCATTTCTACTTCACTGTTTATTCAGGTACTGGTAGAGATGTGATTAGAAAATTGAAATTTTCTTATTTACAATAGGAGTCGATTAAGCAGGTCTAGAATGGGAAAAGCCTTTCATATAATAGGGTTTTTGATAGTACAAAGTTAGAAAGGATGCTGGGGAAAGTCCTGTTCTTGAACTTATGTCATTAAGCATTGATAGCCAAATGAAAATATGTCTGCTTGACTGGTATGTTATCAATGCATATTACATCAGTTTTGGAAGGTAAAATACAAGGCTTATCTGCAACACTGAGATAGATACATTGTGGTTGTGTTTTACATGCAAGTATTGTTTTATATTCATCATTTTGTTCATCTTGAACTTTTTTGTTGCTAAGATTTCTTTTTAAATGAAGTGGTTATCAATGCATGTCTCCTGTTTTGCATGATCTGTGGTCTGCTGCTGTGTGACGATATAAGGGAGACAACTCCATGTAAAGAGAAATTTTGATCGGTAGAATCAAATTTGTCATAATCTGTTTGATATTAGAATGCCTGTGTAGAAGTTCTTGTATAAAATGTATTTATAAAGAACTGTAAAGAAGACATGTTTTCATCAGTAGTTTGTTAATTAAGAACTGTATAATGCTGCTCATTTTATTTCATATTTGATGAAATTTCAAGACAATCAAGCAACCTTTCCAGTGATAAAGTGTTCGTAGTTAAATATGTAAATTGAAGACAATTAAATGGCCTTTCTGAGGACAAAATTCTCACGTCATAATTCAGTTTTAATTCGGGGTTCACGCAACAATCAGATGACCTTTCCAATGATAAAGTTTTCTTGACTAGTTTAATGTGTTAATTGAAGACTACTAAATGACCTTTTCAATGACAAAGTTTTCATGTCTTAATTAAATGTATGTACCAGTCAAAGTAAGTTAATATATCTTGAGTATTACCATGACTGTCAATTTCCATTTTTGTAAGAGTGTACTTGTTAATACTGTATGATAATTAATTTCTTTGGGGCTCAAATTTTCATAGCTTTTCATTAACATATTCTTACAGTGCCCACAAAATACTGAATGCTATATTGTGATGTAAAATATTAACTGTTAAATAGTCTATGCACATACGGATTCCTTGTTTACCACCGAAAAAATGAAAATAAAACCCCACAAAAACTGATTATTTTACAGTATGTAATATATGGTAGTGGGCTAGCTATATATAGATTTTTCAGGTACTCAGGTGTACGTTATCATTTATACAGTAGAGCTCACTCACTAGTTTAGATCACAGGTCTGTGATATCACCAAAACCTTAAACATATGCATGGTAGAGGAATCTTGAGATGGAAATAGAAACATGTATATCGCTATGGGAACTCAATAATTGTTTACCTCAAAAAGAGTGACTTTTTGGATGAAAATTAAAAAAGAACTGTTCTGTACTGTGTACAGATATAATGTCTGAAATTTGGATTAAAATTCACTTTCCAAAGTATCCTTTTTGATTTTTTTTTCCAATATTAATTTCTGTATTGCTATATGGGTAATTGTTACGTTGTTTGTGATATGAGGAATCTGTAACTTTAGTAATGAAACAGCAATGTGAAGTCTTATAACATGATTAGTTGGTTTATTCGGGTTTACAAAGCTGTTGGGTGTCTTGAAATTCCAGCCATGCTAATAATCTTATGACTGACATGAAGTTAGGAAGATTAGAAATGTTGGTGGTGTATTTCCCATTATCATTTGATATTGATTTGAGATTTACATTGTACAGTCAGTATTTAGAGCTCTCTATATGTTTACTATATAAAGATAAGAGGAATCACTTTGTGTTTGGTGTGTTTTAGACGGGACGCAGTGAGCCAAGTGAAGGACTGGAACAAGCAATAGAAAACATGCAGAAGAAAACGCAGGACTTGCGTAGACAGGTAAGAAGTTGTAATACATCTAATGTGAAGAAAACCAAGTGAATACTTTTTGTCAGACAGTTTGACTTGATCAGGTAACCATGCTACACACAATTTCCTATTTATTCAGTGTTTATGATATTTTGATATATACCTTCCAACTTTTTACTTTCGTTCTCTAGGTAAAACAGTTAGTACTTAAATGTGACATGGAGACTTAAGGATGTATGTTATTTTATTATGACAACGAGACTTAAGGATGTATGTTATTTTACTATGACAAGAAAACTTAAGGATGTATGCTGCCTTATTATGACATGGAGATTTAAGGATGTATGTTATTTTACTTTGGCAAGAATACTTAAGGATGTATGTTATTTAACTATGACAAGGAGACAATGAAATGTTAACAGCGTATTTTAGAAAAAGTGAGGTATCAGGTATCATTAAGCATTCAGTTTCAATATCAATCTTGGTATCAGTTTTGACTGGGAAATTTGACTGATAGCAGACGACTGAAAAGATTCATGTTGTTTCTTATTGTAAATAGAATATTTTTGTTTCACAAAACAAATCTAAGTGAGTCTGTATATAACTCCTATTAATTGCTGTAATATCCATTTTCAATAGTTGAGGAAAGCTGTGGTGGACCATGTGTCCGACTCCTTCCTGGAGACAAATGTACCATTACTGGTCCTTATCGAGGCAGCCAAGGCAGGAGACGAGAAAGGTGTGGAGGAGTATGCTAAGGTGTTTGAGGAACACGCCAACAAGCTTGTGGAGGTATAGGTCTTCTGGTGGTTTTTAGAATAATATTAGATCTTATTATCAAGCACTGGATTTCATATTTTCTGTTCATTGTTTTAATCAAGACAATCATGTAGTTTTACACTTTGCTTGGATCTGTTCAATTTTCTTGTCAATGTCAGTGACTTCATTTTGTGTCAAATTGTGTTTACCCAAAGAAGAATTTAGTTACTGAAGATTTTTTCCTTATAATGATCACAAAACACTGAACACAGCATTGATTCTGATCTAAGATATGAATATGTTTGTCTTACATACCTTTTGAATTGATAAGAGTTGTATCCATTAATTTGTCATTAAAACGCTGAGTTTAGTTATATATGTGTATAGTTATTTGTGTTTATCATGAATTCTAGGTGGCGAGACTTGCCTGCTCTATGTCCAGTAACGAGGAGGGCGTGAAGCTTGTCCGCATGTCTGCGGCTCAGATAGAGAGTCTTTGCCCACAGGTGAGACCCTAGTGAGCTATTCTAGAAAGGGTTTAAGAGCTGGGATTGGGTGATGGGGAATGCTAGCATGATATTTTTTTGTGAATTAAAGGACTTAAATTGGTTGTTAAAAGATATATCAAGAAAATTTCAGATGGTCGGGATTTGAGGCAACAGTTCCACTCCCCTGTACTTATTTATCTGGTATATTTGTCAGGATGTCGAGATGTTGATCTAATCATTTATTTCATAAAGGTCATAAATGCTGCTCGCATTTTGGCAAGTCGTCCAAGGTCAAAGGTTGCACAGGAGAACATGGATGTTTTCAAGGATACATGGGAAGGTCAGGTGAGGATTCTTACTGATGCTGTGGACGATATTACAACCATCGATGACTTCCTTGCAGTGTCAGGTATGTTAACACATCAGCATCCTGTGTCAGTATGTGACAATCCTTAATGATGATGTAGAATATTTATAACACATGTTCTTGTTTAAACGTAAACATTTTCATTTGTGGCAATAAGTTAGGTGTGAAAAGCTTAATAAATGATAATGGGAAAACAATATCACAATCTTACCCGTGTTTTACTTCGCTCAACTTGCTGTGTTTTAAGAATTTATATTTCAAGACCATAAAACGATGAAGTATTCTTCTTTGTTGTTTAAAGTTTGAAAATCATGTTATTAAGATAAGATTTTATGAATGTCAATAGTCCATGTTGGTGCGTTTTGTCAGATATTAAAATTACGTCAGTTTTCTATTCAGAGTTGTCTTCCTTTTACAGAAAGTCATATCCTGGAGGATGTGAACAAGTGTGTACTGGCCCTACAGGAGGGAGACGCTGACACACTCGACCGAACAGCTGGGGCCATTCGTGGACGGTCAGCGCGAGTATGTAATGTGGTGTCGGCCGAGATGGACAACTATGAGAATGGTCAATACACTGACAGGGTCATGGAAGCTGTTGCAATGCTTCGAGATCAAGGTCAGTAAAATGCTTGATTACACAAAAAATTAATGTGAAGCTAGCTCTCTATACACAGTTGCAAAAAATGCATAAAAGAGGGGGAAAAACAAGCTGTAAGTAAATATTTTATCCAATTCTTTATTATTGAAAACATCGACCATTCTGTTGCTTACTCAGTGTCATTGTTCTGTAGACATGGAGGCCTAACTTGTGCTACATCAATCAAAAATTGCCTATCTCATGTCATTTTTAATTTGTGAATTTGTTTGACTTGTGTTATTTTACGCATAGTAATGCCTAACTTCGCGGAGAAGGTAGAAATGGCTGTGGATGCACTTAGCAGTAATCCCCCACGTGACCCTGATGAGAGCGAGTTTTATGACGCATCCCAGTTGGTTTATGACGGAGTGCGAGACATTCGACAGGCAGTGCTAATGAACAGGGTACGTATTTGAGCTGAAGTTTCACACAGTATCAGTAGTTAAAAACATGATCTGCTATTCTCATGTTGTCATGATTTGGGTTTAGTTATGTTTACTAGTAAATATTTACTAATGCTTGGCCTAAGGAAGTCAGAAGATTATGGTTATTGTTAGTAGAACTTAAGTATAATAATCATGGGTTTTTTTTGTGATAGTCAGCAAAATGAAGTGATATTAAGTGTTGCCCACATGAAAATAAGTGACATTATCACATGTTGGATTACATATAATGTGTATAGGGAAAAAACTGGTGTTTCAAGAAAACATGATACTAACCTGAAAGAGACATTCACAGACATCACATTAAGTGAGTTCAACTGTTCAAAGTAAACCAACTTCCTAACCCAGTAACTTACCTCAGATATTCTTTAGGATTCAGCGTGGGATTTCAAGAGTGTTATTGCCAATTTCTGATGCAATGGTCATATTCTCAAAAGAAATATTTATGAAGATTTGTAATATTTACTGATTTGGAATTTTTACTTGACGAGAAGGACATTACATTAATATGCATGGTTTGAATATAAAATCTAGAGGACAGGGCAAAAATCCTAAAAAATCTGTACATTTTAAATGTAAAATCTAGAGGACAGGGGGAAAATTGTCACAATCTGCATTTTGAATATGAAATCTAGAGAACAGGGTGACAATGATACTACTATGTATAATTTATTGTAGAATCCTGAAGACATTGAGACAGATACAGAGGTGGATTATGATGAGAACAGAGATGAATCCATCAGTAGATGTGAGTTTTTTCTGTGTGCCTTTATTTATTTGTTCACCTCATCAGAAAGGATATGTTTGCAGCGTGATAAAATTATCTCTTAAGAAGCAAATTTTATTTGAAGACATAAGATGTTTATTTTATAGCAGATGCACTTTTGTTTTTAGTGAAATTTGTTATGTTTTCTTTATTTCTAACGATTAAAATCCTTGAAACACTGTCCACAATGGTGTTGTGTAAAGTATGCAAAATCCCGATAATGATGAATGGCACAGCATCCATGGTCTTGTGGCTGTTATCTTTTCCAATTAAGCAAGTTCTTCTCAATAACCAAAACATCTAGGGCACTGAATTTGAATGGTAGCATCCTGGGATGAATAGCTACCAATGATTCAATCAGTCACCTTGATTTTCCATATCACATGAGTTGTATGTGTCAACAGCTTTAAACCTCTTCTTCTTATGAACCAATGCCCCCAGGGCCATGGTATATGTAGTAGCATTGTTTAGGAATAAGGTTTAAGTTTGCAGAATTTGACTTAAGGAACCTACAATGTCTTCTCTGTAAGCAGCAGAAGAGGTGTGTTGTTCAGGCCTAGTGGGCCTCTTGTAAAAAAACTTTCATGATTCTATATACCATATAGCCAATTATTGTCATGGGGATGATTTTTTGAGGGTCACTTTTGTTATGAAATTTGATCCCTGAAATATCAAGACGCATGGAAATATTGTCGGCAATATTTGATGTTGAAAACATTGTTGTGTCTTGACAAACTTCTCGTAGTAATGAAGTCAGTACTAACCTGCTTTAGCTTCTTCCATAATGATGGTATGATTTGACAGTTGGTATGATTTTGACACAAGTTTAGGTAGCATTCCTATATATACGTGAAATAAACAATCACATGAGAGCACAACAACATAACGCTGCAAAACTGTACAAAACATTTTACGTCCATTTGGGAAAATTTTATTTCTAGTAAATGCCACATCACAAAATTTCTTTGTACAATTTTGCCTGTGAAAATAACTGGCTAAACGGTATGATGTTGATATTTTTCTCCAGGGACTTAAAAAGTCTGATTCAGGGGGTGGACTTATGCTGGAAGTAACATTTTATTGTCAAATAGTTGTTTATAAGTGTGGTCCTATAAGCAGCTATAGGTTTATTGTAGGGGAGATGGTTGTTATATTGTAAACCAAAGAATGTAAAAGTAACTTTGAAGCTCATGTAGATTGTTGTCAGCTATGACCTTGTCTATTGTAGCGAGTTACAAGACTGAGCAGGACGACCAGAACAATGAACGATGGATGATGCGTCATCTGCCGGAGGATGCTAAGGAGAAAATCCAACAGCATGTTCAGGAGTTCCAAGTTGAACGTCGCAAGCTTGACTACGAGGTGGCTAAGTGGGATGACAGTGGCAATGATATCATTGTCATGGCAAAAGAGATGTGTATGATTATGATGGAGATGACAGACTTCACCAGGTAGGTGGACAGCTGTCGTATAGGAAATGTGTTACAGCATTGTAGCAGATGTTTAGTAGCAGGAGATGCATCTTACTTAATTACAGCAGATGTCGAGGTAAAGATGTTGAGTTACAGGACATATTGGGTTACAGCAAATGTTGAGTTACAGCAGATGTTTAGTAGCAGGAGATGCATCTTACTTAATTACAGCAGATGTCAAGGTAAAGCCGATGCCGAATTACAGCAGGTGTTGAGTTGTAACAGATGGTGTGTTTAAGCAGATGTTGAGTTAAAAGAGAAGTTGAGATACTGCAGATGTTGAGTTATAGCAGATGTTGAGTTACAGAAGGTGTTGAGTTACAGAAGGTTTTGAGTTACAGCAGATGTTGAATTAGAGCAGATGTTGTGTTTAAGTCTTTGATTTGTGAAAAAAATTAGGCTACACAAAAAATTAAAAATGCTAGTTTAAAAAATCTTTACTTGGCTTCTTACCTATAAAAGTCTTTCACCCAAGTATCTGAGACCAAGTGTGGTTACATTGGTGTTAAAGCGTCCTATGAGTAAACAACTTTCATCACTGTGTTTTGTTTTACAGGGGACGAGGACCACTGAAGAGTACCATGCATGTCATCAACGCTGCCAAGAAAATCTCGGAGGCTGGAACTGGTCTTGACAAACTTGCTGGATCTATCGCTGATCAGGTAGGTACACATGTCAGAAAATAGTACTGTATTGGAGGATGATTTCATCAAGTCAAAATCCTTATTTATAATCATCCTGTTATGTAGTTTGTAATTATCACTTACTGCAACTTTGTTTTTCCTTTTTTATCTGATCTTGCTGAGAGTTCCTTTTAGGTGTGGGTAAAACACCAGAATGGTAAGCTGTCAACTTGAGGTCTGACTCGTACCACAAAAACACAGGTGATGTTACTAATGTACATCTAACTGTTGAATTACCTTTGTACAATCCTGTACAAGTCATTTATGTAATACTAATGGTGATTCACGGTCTGAATTTTAGCTGTATGCCGATGTAAGTATCATGATCATATCATAGGAGCCAAGACTGCAATAACACAGTCAGGAGACTTTTTGACAGAATAAGAGCAGAACAATATTAGATTTATAACAGTCTCTTTAGTTTTGAATCATTAAGCTTTACTACAGTATTGGTGTATACCAGTCTTCTTTACCAATATTGGTTTTATTTTAAGCAGTAACAGTTAAACAGTATTCGTGGTCATTGTACAGCCATTTGGTCTTCCTTAACTCGTCATTTGATACTCGACATTCTTAGTCAGATGAAGCAAACTGTGGCTTTGATTCAATCATTAATAGGATTGAGATTTCAATTTAAGAAAGAAACTAGCAAACCCTGAATAATTATGTTCAATATTGTGACTTTAGAATTTTTATAACTTCGTCAGTCATTGTCCTAAGTTCTTCTTAAGTTCCACTAGTAGGATTGAGTTCCAACTTGCTTGAAATGATCCTGAGATGGTCTTGATTGACCAAGTGTTGTTATTTTTTGGGTATGTCTGAAATCCAAGATAGCCTCCATCTTGAAAAACATATTTTAAACTTCTCCTGTTCCACTGATGCCATTGAGCTAAAAATTGGTGGGAATGATAAGGAAAGGTAGCCACTAAGTGTTGTTATTTTTCGACCTTGTCAAAACTGTGATACAGCAGCCAGGGAGGCCAAGTTGTAACATGATTGTGCAATCATGGTTTTCCTAAGCATCACCTATTTAAAACTTCTCAAGTTCCACCAGTTGGATTGAGCTCCAACTTGTCTGAAATGATCCTGAGATTGTCTTGACCAAGTGTTGTTATTTTTCGGGTATGTTTGAATGTTGATTGAGCTGAAATTTTACTGTCAGAAATAGGTAACACTTGTTACAGTTACCTACTCCTCATCAAAACAACCATCTGCATCATGGAAAACAGCTTCTTAGTAAGGTTTCATTCTTAGTTGTAAAGATAACCCTTCTCCCTGCTGAAAGTTTTTGTAGTCAGATGATCATTAAGGCCCATGGGCCTCTTCTTAGAATGATGTGCTGGAACTAATTGCTGTTAGGACAATGATTGTAACAGAATTACTTATATATGTGAAAGTATTATGTATTTCTTCATTACACTATATAACCGGAATTTAATGTTTTTATACAGAGCTCAGAAATATAAAATTCTATATTTATTCCTGTTGAAATTTTCATTATATGGAATAAGTCATTGCTGATATGTATTATATACCAGAAGATATCAGATATATGAGGATGTTATATCTATATGCTTTGCTTTCATATAAACTGAAGGATTAAACCATCTATTTAATAATAATAACTCCCCCTTTCCCACCCCCACAACAACCACCTCAAGTGATAAGATGAAATGGGGGTCCATATAGGTGGAGTGGGGGATATCATTTTGATGATTTCCTTGGAAGTTACATTGCAGATACAAATCGTTCAATTTTCATGAATTTTCATCTTGACTTTAGAAGCGATTTATGCCCAGTGTGTACTGAATCAATCCCAGGGTTCCCTCTGAATACACTATTCTGATAAATCATTAAGTTGCTAAATCTGAATATCTATGTAATAGTGTCCTGACTCAGCATCCAAAAAGGACCTGTTGGCGTACCTCCAGAGGATCGCCTTATACTGTCACCAGCTTAATATTACCAGCAAGGTCAAAGCCGACGTCCAGAGTGTCAGCGGAGAGCTCATTGTATCAGGGGTAAGTCCGGTGTCATTGTATCTGGGGTAAGTCCGGTGTCATTGTATCTGGGATAAGTCAGGTGTCATTGTCTTGGGTAAATGGGGGTCATTAGGTCTGAGGTAAGTCAGTCATCATTTCAGCCATTTTGAAAAGTTTATCATGTAAAATCTTAGTAAATTATTTGTTGTAAGCATGTTCTTGCATAATGCAGTAGAATAGAGTTACATAGGAGTACTGTCAGTAACTACTGGTTTGTCTGTCACATGTCAGTATGCACCATGTATGTCCATCACATTTTTGGTTACATTTCACATGTAAAATGTTATCTCAGCTAGTATTGGTTATTATAGCAAGTGACTATTTTTTTCTTAACGATATTCCTTTAAAACGAGAGAATTAGATGCTAAAAAATTAATATATAACTAGCTATACAGTATATAATGAGTGAGATGCTTAATGTCATACAAACATCATGTTCTAGTTACACTTTGTTTAACTAGCTATACAGTGTATAGGGAGTCGGGTGCTAAATGTTGTATAAACATTGTCTTCTAGTTACATGTTGTATAACTAGCTATACAGTGTATAGGGAGTCGGGTGCTTAATGTTGTATAAACATTGTCTTCTAGTTACATGTTGTATAACTAGCTATACAGTGTATAGGGAGTCGGGTGCTAAATGTTGTATAAACATTGTCTTCTAGTTACATGTTGTATAACTAGCTATACAGTGTATAGGGAGTCGGGTGCTAAATGTTGTATAAACATTGTCTTCTAGTTACATGTTGTATAACTAGCTATACAGTGTATAGCGAGTCGGGTGCTAAATGTTGTATAAACATTGTCTTTTAGTTACAAGGTGTATAACTAGCTATACAGTCGTACAAACATCGTTCAGTTGTTATTCTTATTGATATTTCTACCAATTAACGTCATTTTTATTATTTTCGTAACGAAGAATTTAGCAACATATGATGTTATTTTCTTTGTTTTGAGTTAATGTTTATGATCAATGTTTTTACTTTCAGTTGGACAGTGCGACATCTCTGATCCAGGCAGCCAAGAACCTGATGAATGCCGTTGTACTGACAGTGAAGGCCTGCTATGTAGCCTCCACCAAGGTAAGAATCAAGCTGTTGATTTTTTGGGTCCAAAATCAGAAATTTGTATCTAAATTAAAAAAAGAATTAAAGTTAAAAGTTTCAGTATTGAAAAGGCTAATAAACAAGTTTGATGGTATGCTGGTGTTACTTGAAGTTTAATTAATTCCTGATGTGATTCTGATTGATGATTGTGTAACAGAAAGGGGATGTAACTCTGTGATGTTTGGAACAATGAGAGGAACACTTAGTTATTCACACAAATTCATCATATAGCTGAGTATCCCAGTTCAAACTGATAAAAAATTATTTTGAAGTTGATGCAGGGTTAGAAAAATCCACTCGTTCGCTCATCTAGACGAGTGATTTGTTTCAGCTTCTTGTCCTGCAGGCGAGTGAAATTTGTAGTTCTGACTATTGAATATTCCATAATAAATGACGTTTATCAACTTAATCACTCTTAAAACTAATTGAAATTCACTGATAGTCGATCAAATGCATCGATGTAGTATCCTTGTTTACACCATGTGTCAAGATTCGGGCTGATCCAGACTACGCGGAAACCTATTGCGTCACCACAAATGTTGTAAAGAAGGTTGTTTTTTGTACATAGATACTTTCAAAAAGTTGATGTTCTTGCTCGTGTTAACAGTGAATCAGAAATGAGTAAAACATTAAAAGCAAGTGTTGAGTTTAAACATTTAATATAGAAATTGATAATAAAATTTGATAATAAATTATGTTTTGTTGCCTTTTTTCTTCGGGTGAGTGAATATTGAATTCAGGCAAGTGCATTTCAAGTTTCACTTGCCCGACAGACGAGTAGCTGAAAATATTTTTTTTCTAGCCCTGTTGTTGTAAATTGGTGCCAAGTAAACTCAAAGCATCAAAGATAAACTATGATATTGCTATATTGGACAGAAATATCCGAGATGAACAGAAATTCATCTTATTTTACTGTCGTGTTAGTGTTAAGTTTTGTTGAATAGCAAATGATCATCTTTTTAAACAATTTTCATTTGATTACCTGTATTCTTATGATCTTTTAATTAACTTTTCAGTACAAGATGGCTGGATCAAAGGTGAGTTATTTAGCACATACTTTATTGGACATATTTAATAACTAATGGAGCTGGCACACCAGGTCATGGAATCATTTGAATTAATGTAAATTTTGTGCCAGGAAAATAAATATCCTGATGAAATCATGCTTTGAAAAGTTATCTTTATTTTACAAAACCATCATTTGTTATCTAATGGAATTTCTTTTCAATGTTAGTGTTAGATAATTTAAACAAAGTTGGTCCTTTGTACTAGATCATATTTTTATGCTCTGTGAAGGAGGGCATATAGTCGCCATTTTGTCTACCGGTTGGTCTCTCTTTCCATCATGATCTTGTATATTGTATATGAGCTATAAACATGAAACTTTATAGATTGATAAAGAAAAGTGTATTGTACAAGAATCATAACTTTCTTTTGCAATATTTAGGAGTTATTGCCCTTGGTTTTTTTTTCATACTAAAATTTTCGCACAATTAGCCTTTTTTGGATTTGCATTTATCCATTGGTACTTGTCTTGTTATTATAATCAATATCTTTTACAGAGTTCCGTGGTTATGTGGAAGATGAAAGCACCAGAGAAGAAACCATTGGTCATGAAAGAAAATCCACGTGACATTCGCGGCAAAATACGCAAGAGTGCACCAAAGAAGAAAATTGAACCTGTGAAGGAACTAAGCGAATTTTCAGAACTAAATATTGACAGCGCGTGCTAATAGCTTTACTAAATCTTGGACTTGAGACGCAAATTGTTTAAGCTTGAATGACTTATGAATGTGGAAATTTCAGGAGTTCTCTGAAGATATTGAGTGGATTATTTGTTAAGATGGGATGTTGTGGTCAGTTGTTTGCTGATCTGATGTTTTCAGATGTATCAATGTTTTGAAAGACAAGTATAAAACTTTGTCTTGGAAAAGCCACAATGAAAGGACAATTTTGAAAGATGAGTATAAAATTTTGTCTGAGATCTGCCACTGTGACAGTTTTGAAAGATGAGTACAAAATTTTGTTTGGGATCTGACACTGTGGCAAGATGTATCAACAAGGTTGTGGATTGGAATTTGTGTTGATGATCATGTGACTATGATGCCAACAGCAGGAAATGGTTGTGTGTTATCAGTAATAGAGAATTATATTGAATATGCATGAAAGTATTCACAGATTATAATACATAACTGCCTGTTAAATTAATATTATCTCCATTCATGTTGATGTGCCCACCATCTGCATGTGACATCTTTCTGACCTTGCTTCTGTTGTCACATGGGTAAGTGTTGTTATGTTGTTTATCTACTTTCATCATATCGTATACTGCCATTACTGTGCAGAATTTAAGTTTATTATGTCTTAAATGCTGCATAGTGCTTGTCCATCACGGGGTCTAATTTTGATCAATCTAATTAAATTACTGCATGTCTAATTTTAATTAGATTTTATTTTGATAAATTTGATTTACGGTTTTATGCCATTGATTGGTAAAAAGTTGAGAATAAACCTTCTGAGGAAAACCGTAAAATTTTAAGTTAGTAACTTTATATCTAGTGACCCATCAGATTTTCTTGTTCATTTGTGATGGCACAAAACTGTAAATCATGGATTTTTAATACTTTGACTTCAAGTTGTGCTTAAATGAATATATATTTTCCTGAATTTGAATCTGAATGAAAAAGGATTAATGAAAAGTCTTACTCCTGTTTTGTCCAGTAATATCACTATGATATCAAATTCATGGAAATATTTTAAATTTTCGTCTGGAATTTATGAATTGTAAGATTGAATATAGGTAAATACACCTGGGATCTGACCACATATCACTAAATCATATCACTAGGAAACCTGCGATGTTTACTAGATATCTCGCTCCTCAATATAATGTACTTAGATGGTCAAAGATATTTCTGCAGCATTTATTTTTTGATAGATTTGAGTATGACATAATTTTGGTGGTTTTTTTTTTAGCATTTTTCCCTTCACTCAAAGTGAAAATCATTTCCATCAGCAATATACATACACAAAAGTTTTTCTCCTTTACTTGATTTTAGGCTACGTCCATATCAAGTGTATTTCCATGATTTTTTTTCAATTTATATTTGAAATATTTTCATATTCGGTGAAATAGATTTATTATATAATTGATATGGTTGACAATTAAAAAGTGCTATATATAGGATATGTAACCAGATCCAGACATGTACACATTGGTGGCACTAGAAATGGAAACATGTTGGTTAGAAATCGGTCAGAAATCCTGTATCAACTTTTAATATATCTGTACTGTAAATTTATCATAGGCTTTTGGATGTAAATGGAGATCATTATCTCACTAATTTTGGATAGATATAAAGTGGAAAAATACAGATTTTAGAAAAAATAAGATCAGTCTGAAAAATCACAATTCATTTTATAATTTTACTTGAAGTGAGTTCCTATATGTTCAAATTTTTGGCAAAGCCGCATTTTTTTTTAACATTAAAAAGGGCAAACTTAGAAGTATTTTCAGAGGTTGTGTAAGATTGTGAATAAAAGTATCACTTGTTTGTATCTCTACCCTTTGAAACACATGCTATTGAAATCCTCACAAATTAAGTCTCAGAGATACAGTATTGCATGAAGATGCTTCATACACTTTGTTACAGGTCATTAATTTGTACATAATTTTATACATGAGGAACGTATAGACATCATGTCAATTTGCCATTGAAACATGTTGTGCAGATATATATATATATTTTTAGGGAATATAACGGAACATGCTGTTTATTTGTATATTTTAGAATCTCAGTAGAGACGCTGGACCTAGTCATAGTAGTCAGTAGTGTTATATAGTTGTTACACATTGGACTGATCCTTCACTGAACCTTAACTGAACCTAGGACTGATAATCAGACTGATCCTTAGACTAATTGTCGCACTGATCCTTGGTCTGGTCCTTGGACTAACCCTTGGTCTGATCCTTGGACTAACCCTTGGTCTGATCCTTGGAATGTTCCTTGGTCTGATCCTTGGAATATTCCTTGGTCTGATCCTTGGAATATTCCTTGGTCTGATCCTTGGAATGTTCCTTGGTCTGATCCTTGGACTGATCCTTGGGCTGTTCCTTGGACTGTTCCTTGGGCTGTTCCTTGGTCTGATCCTTGGACTAATCCTTGGAATGTTCCTTGGTCTTATCCTTGGTCTGATCCTTGGACTGTTCCTTGGTCTGATCCTTGGAATGTTCCTTGGTCTGATCCTTGGACTGTTCCTTGGTCTGATCCATGGGCTGTTCCTTGGTCTGATCCTTGGAATGTTCCTTGGTCTGATCCTTGGAATGTTCCTTGGTCTGATCCTTGGACTTATCCTTGGTCTGATCCTTGGGCTGTTCCTTGGACTCTGATCCTTGGACTAATCCTTGGTCTGATCCTTGGAATGTTCCTTGGTCTGATCCTTGGAATGTTCCTTGGTCTGATCCTTGGACTGTTCCTTGGGCTGTTCCTTGGTCTGATCCTTGGACTAATCCTTGGTCTGATCCTTGGACTAATCCTTGGTCTGATCCTTGGAATGTTCCTTGGTCTGATCCTTGGACTTATCCTTGGTCTGATCCTTGGACTAATCCTTGGTCTTACAAAACAAGTGATTCTACCCTGGTATTGATTATTCTTGTTGGCTTGGATGAAATTGTATTTGGGTCTTAATATAATGAGTTTAACAAACTTGATTGGTTTTACAACACTTACAAAACAAGTGATTCTACCCTGGTATTGATTATTCTTGTTGGCTTGGATGAAATTGTATTTGGGTCTTAATATAAGAGTAAACAAGAGTACCTAGGGAAAACTGAATTCGTTCACAGTAGGTGACCTCATTTCACTTCACATCAGTTACCAACCTGCATTAATATATCTAACTTTGAAAACAGCTACAGCAATAAATCCAATTTTGAGTTGGAGCTGGTCTTCAAATATAAATTGGAGCTTAAATAGATAAAAAGATAAAAATCTGTTTTGCTTATAGATACATCAACCATTAGCTTTTAAGCAGACTGACTGTGATAATACATGTTATTTCTGCTTACTGGACAGAATATCTTAAGTCAGTCTAAACAGAACAATAATTAGCAATATTTTAACTACAAGGTGTACATTTCATACATGTTTGTAGTGTTAGACTAATATAATACAAATTTGAAATTTACATATAATGTAATTTTAGTATTTTTTTCTCTTTTTGCTTGTTTTTATACAGCAATCCTGAAAATCTTCCTCTACTGTATATCATTGAAAATTCTGTCTAGAATACTGAAATAATACACACCTCAAGTTTATTGATCAGACCAGGGTCAAATATCCTAGTCTGGCTGTATTTTATTGTTGAGTGACTAAGCATGGAGAATATCAACTTTTATGTAAACTTTTTATTTGTTAAATTGTTACACATTTTACTCTTGGTTGTGACAGAATTTCGTTGATTGTTGTTTTAAAACAGATTTTTTTTCATGAATTTTGTTTTTTGAGAAGAATTTTGATACCGTCGTTGCAATCCTGTGTTAGAAGCCAATATTAGTTGTAATTTTTATTCTTTTTCCTTAAGGTTGTATATATCTACTACCTTATGGGGATTCGTATTGATGTTAGTTATTGAAATAAACTTAATTATATTGCTGAGCTGACTGGATGGCATGAATCAATTTGAATGTAGTTATTTTCACATTGATGATGAAATATTCTGTGTGAAATTAGCATTATATAATCATTCAACAATTTAACAAAATTTACGCCGATTTGTCAAATCATTACTCATATCACTGTCTTGCTTAAAAGGAAATTTATCATAATGAAGAGAAAAAGTACATGGATACAACAGAAAGACATAATAGTACAAACACCCATTACTTTAATCTTGATCTCAAATCCTGTACATATGAAATTTGTATCATTTCAGGTTTATCAAGAACTTCTCTTTATTTTCAGACTGTTTATGAAATCATATACTTTTGTGTAGGATAAAAGTGAGTGATTAATTGAAATATAAATACTTTATTTAGACTAGCATCATCTGTCTGACAAATCATTTCTATAGATAATGGTTGATATAGGATTTAAGATATACATGGTTGTAAGTTGACTAGGCTTGACAAAGTTGATGTTTTATTCACTATTTCATATATATGTCTGTATGTATTATCAGCTTGAGGACCAGTCTACATTCATTAACAGATGAATATATATGTTTTTAATTTCTTGTTTTGCCATTTTAACATTTTACATAGACAGATACATCATGGTAATTTTCAATAAAAATGTAAATAATTTAGCATTTATCTTATGTCTATAGGGGTGAGCAGCAGAGGTCAGTAGATTTTAATGTTGATGATACATGGACCTGATCATCAGTCAGCTAAACAAATAAGTTTACACCTCTCCTAATGTCTAAATGATCACAATATTTACCTAGGAGCATTCATCCTTGTCTACTGTGGTAAATCTAGAATAGAAACCAGATACAGCCATAGATATACCCAGTTATTGATTCCTAGGTCCCTGTGTCTTAGATCACAGCCATAGATATACCCAGTTATTGATTCCTAGGTCCCTGTGTCTTAGATCACAGCCATAGATATACCCAGTTATTGATTCCTAGGTCCCTGTGTCTTAGATCACAGCCATAGATTTACCAAGTTATTGATTACTCGGTCCCCCTGTCTTAGATCACAACCATAGATCTAACTAGTTATTGATAACAAGGTCCTTCTGTCTCAGATCAGACTCATATATATACCCAGTTATTGATTTCTAGGTCTCTGTGTCTCAGATCACAGCCAAAGATATAACTAGTTCTTCATTCATAGGCCCCTGTTTCTGAGATCACAACCATAGATTAACCCAGTTATTGATTTCTAGGTCTCTGTCTCAGATCACAGCCAAAGATATACCTAGTTGTTCATTCGTAGGCCCCTGTGTCTGAGATCACAACCAAAAAATATACCCAGTTATTGATTTCTAGGCCCCTGTGTCTGAGATCACAACCATAGATATACCCAGTTATTGATTTCTAAGTCCCTGTATTTAAAACCACAGTCATAGATATACCCAGTTATAAGCTCACCGTCCGTCCTGCGTCCATCAACTTTTCATTTCAACAACTTCTTCTGAAATACCAAAAGGCGTAGAGTTATCATATTTGACTGGAAGGTTCCTTTGATGAAGCCCAACAAAGTTTGCGAAAAGAAATGAACGTGACCCATATTCAAGGTCACAGAGGTCAAATATGTTAAAACCTTTAAACGACTACTTTCAAAATACCGGGAGCCTAGAATCATTATATTTGGCTGGAAGGTTCCTTTGATGAAGCCCAACAAAGTTTGCGAAAAAAAATAACCTTGTCCCATATTCAAGGTCACAGAGTTTAAACGACTTCTTTCAAAATACTGGAAGGCCTAGAATCATTATATTTGGCTGGAAGGTTCCTTTGATGAAGCTTAACAAAGTTTGCAAAAACAAAAATAACCTTGTCCCATATTCAAGGTCACAGAGGTCAAATATGTTAAAACCTTTAAACCACTTCTCCCCAAATACCGGAAGGCCTAGAATCATTATATTAGGCTTCTATGTTCCTCTTATGGTGTCCTACAAAGTTTGCTTAAAGAAATTACCTTGACCAATCTGCAAGGTCACAGGTGTCAAATGTGTTAAAACGTTTAAACAATTTCTTCTGAAATATCGAGAAGCCTAGAATCATTATATTTAGCCAGTATGTTCCTTTTATGAAGTCCCAGAAAGTTTGCAAAAAGAAATTACCTTGACCCATAATCAAGGTCACAGGAGTCAAATGTGTTAAACGTGGAACATATGCACAGATGTAGTACTGTAGGTCATAAAGATCCAGGTGAGCGATAAGGGCCTCTTGTTGGTTTCTAGGTCCCTGTATTCAAAGCCACAGCCAAAGAGATACCTAGGTGTTGATTCCTGGGTCCCCGAGTCTCTGATCAGACTCCTATATATCTAGATATTGATCCCTAGGTCCCTGTGTTCCAGATCACAGCCAAAGATATACCTAGGTGTTGATTCCTGGGTCCCTGAGTCTCTAATCAGACTCATATATATCTAGATATTTATTCCTAGGTCCCTGTGTTCCAGATCACAGCCATTGATATGCGTAGTTATTGATCAGAAGGTCCCTGTGTCGCAGATTAGACTCATATATACCTAGTTATTGATTCGTAAGTCCCGGTGTCTCTGATCACAGCCATAGATATACACAGTTATTGATTCCTATCCAATACCTGTGGCTGATGTTGTGACAAATACCTGTGACTGATGTTGTGACAAATACCTGTGACTGATGGTGTGACCAATACTTCTGACTAATGGTGTGACCAATATCTGTGACTGATGGTGTGACCAATACTTGTATATAGACTTATCCAAACATATCTATCAAAATAGTCAGTCACCTTCAGAGTCGTTACATACATACCGTATTTTTCTACAATGTAGTTTTTAGAAACTGGTTCTGATAACAAAACAGATGTACATGTCTTCTGAATCCAAATCCAGTCCGTTTTTCCATGAAGCCACGAAATTGTAATACACAGGAACAGCTGTATGTTTGTAGGTACACGATTATATACATGTATCTATCAGTCGACTGCAGTCGTATTCACAATTCCACAGATTCTGGAGACAACAGTATGGCATCTACATCCCTCTTCTTAAAGTATTGTTTACATGGATCCGAGGTTACCACGGCACCAAACTAGGGACCTGAGGTTACCACAGCATCACAATTACTTCTATCATAAGTCTGGTATCGTCTATAGAGACCCGTGGTAACCACGACATCACAACTACTTCTATCATAAGTCTGGTATCGTCTATAGAGACCCGTGGTAACCACGACATCACAACTACTTCTATCATAAGTCTAGTATCGACTATAGAGACCCGTGGTAACCAATACCTGTGACTGATGGTGTGACAAATACCTGTGACTAATAGTGTGACAAATACCTTTGACTGATGGTGTGACCAATACTTCTGACTGATGGTGTGACCAATATCTGTGACTGATGGTGTGACCAATACCTGTGACTGATGGTGTGACAAATACCTGTGACTAATAGTGTGACAAATACCTTTGACTGATGGTGTGACCAATACTTCTGAGTAATGGTGTGACCAATACTTGTATAGAGACGTATCCAAACATATCTATCAAAATAGTCAGTCACCTTCAGAGTCGTTACATATATACTGTATTTTTCTACAATGTAGTTTTTAGAAACTGGTTCTGATAACAAAACAGATGTACATGTATGAGTCTTCTGAATCCAAATCCAGTCCGTTTTTCCATGAAGCCACGAACTTTTAATGCACAGGAACAGCTGTATGTTTGTAGGTACACGATTATATACATGTATCTTTCAGTCGACTGCAGTCGTATTCACAATTCCACAGATTCTGGAGACAACAGTATGGCATCTACATCCCTCTTCTTAAAGTATTGTCTACATAGATCCGAGGTTACCACGGCAACAAAACTAGGGACCTGAGGTTGCCACAGCATCACAGCTACTTCTATCATAAGTCTAGTATCATCTATAGAGGCCCGTGGTTACCACGGCATCACAACTACTTCTATCATAAGTCTAGTATCGTCTATAGAGACCCGTGGTAACCACGGCATCACAGCTACTTCTATCATAAGTCTAGTATCGTCTATAGAGACCCGTGGTAACCACGGCATCACAGCTACTTCTATCATAAGTCTAGTATCATCTATAGAGGCCCGTGGTTACCACGGCATCACAACTACTTCTATCATTTGTCTAGTATCGTCTATAGAGACCCGAGGTTACCACAGCATCACAATTACTTCTATCATAAGTCTAGTATCGCCTTTAGAAACCCATGGCCGACATTTTGTAGTTGTGTTATCATATTCTTAAAAAAGAACACCCGGTAAGGCCTACATTTAAAGATTTTTTTTTCGTATTGTTGCTTTGTTTTCACATTAAAATTTGGTAAGACTAAGTAGGATAATCATGTGTAAGTTTCAACTAAAAAATGACACAAATTTTCATCTAAAAATTTGAAAAAAAATATATATTTGTAACGAACAGACGAAGAAAGTTTATATTTACTGATTAGAGGCATATATTTTGGACTTTTTATCTACAAAACGATATATTAATATTTTTCTGAAATGGCACTATATAATCTATAGTAAAAATACCGTTTACTCGGAGCGAGAAATCCGCGCATGCGCGCCGCGGTATGTCCTCAATAGCTGCATATGACGTATTGAAATTGTCTGGTTTACCTGTCAAAGAGTCATATGAACTAAATACAGAATTCAAAATGTATACAAGCATTGCAGAATAATTTTGATATACTCCTGATGACAATTTATGTGACATTCATATTAGTTATGACTGCAATTCAATGCCAAAAGTATATATTAAGCTGCCTTTTGTACATACATGAAGCTTGATATTAACAAAGTGCTTATTTGAAAACTTATTCACAAATTGTTTCCCCTTAAATGCTTGCCAGAATATAACCAGTGTCGTTAGGTCATTAAAATACAATAGACCTGTTTATATGTCACTTAGACACAAAATGGAACTCATTCATCATGTTTTACATATTTTTAAAACAACTCATTGATCGATAAACTAAAAAACACAAACTGATATCTATATAATTTATACAAGCATTCGACAAATTAACAGATGTGTCAGTGATGCCAGTCTGCACGTAATTTGCAATAACAGAATATTCACGTAAACTATGAGCTGTACTTGTGTCGCCAACTGTCCGTAAATCCAAACATCAACCAGTTTCACCGACGTGTGTTGGTTGTTAACACTTAAAACTTTCCAGTGGTACAGCGAAATATATAAATATACAAATCAAAGGAAAAAATCGCTACATGGAACTCATACTGACACGAGAATACTCAGCATAAATACAGGAAAGCGGATAGAAACTCAAAACCTAATAATTGTCATTACTTTTATTCTGAAAATGTATGTGCAAACTCTTTGAGGCTTAACCAAGACATCCAAAGGCTTATCGATAAATAACTCGTCACGCAGCTGCTCTTTATACAAAATTTAGATCGCGAGTCATGCCGAAAACAGGTGACACACAGACAGTGAAAAAGTCATATATTGTAGTGGCACCAGAGATAGGGAAGACTGGATATCTACCTGTGTTATGTACAGGGGCGTCAGAATTCCTTCTGAACAGATTCCGAGCTCTATTTCACGAGAAAATGTGTGTAATAAAGCCAACATCGTCTATGCACTCCATAATCCGTTTTGACGTCAAGCATGCACGTGCATTTTTGCACTTTTATTAGCACTGATAGTCGTCCAACCTGACAAGGATGTATATAGTTAAAATATCTGTATTATACAATGTACGTCCCAAAAACCATTTCAAATCTCAAATAGTGTACTCCAGAAGAATGTCATATTTGTGACTCCGTCCCGATTTCACATTAAGTCTGACCTTTGTGCCTGCAGGATAGCCTTGACTAAAGTCAACGACACCCTCATAAATACCGCTGTCGTCCACCTTCTCCAGTTCATTCCAATCCTCCCCAACCTTCATCTGCACGTTTACAGCACGTGGTATCAAGTAACGGAACTTGACAGGGTCACGATTGCCCTTCATGATCATGAAAGGTTCGTACAGGTAACAGCCCTCCTGTTTCCAGAGTGGGTACTGCTTCGGAAACGATTCCACGTAGTTATCTATCTGCTGGATATTCAGTAAATAATTGTAAACGTTTATCATATTCGGTCCAGCCTCATTATTTGGCAGGGCATATATCTGTAACTTAAAAAATCCAGTTCTGGGTACTGCAATAATAAAATGGAACCCTGCATCATCAGTTTGTGTAAACACAAACTGGTTACACTCTCCTTTAGGATTCACCCCGAGCAGTTTCGTCATGCATCGCATCTTTTCACATGTCCCGATGATAATCTCAATTCTGTTGGAATCGGAATGGATGACCGGTTCCGGATGGGTCAAGGTAGTCAGACCGTAGGGGAAGAATTTGGCCTGAGGTCCAAGATAGCCCTCGGTCAGTCTAGGAAGTTCCACAGCCCCTGCCATTTTTCGTAATGAAGGCGATGATACACAGAACAATTGACACAAAATCTCGTAATAAATCTTCTCGTGTTTTAGACTTGTATGTGCCTCAAAAAGTTAGATATAACTGCGCATATCATGAAATGTTTGTTGTTCACGTGCATTTACCGGCCGAGTGTTTAGATGGATTTTACACGTGCTGGTATCGTCTGTGTATCATGTGAAGATATAAGGCTCTATGCTGAGATATCTTAAATATACCTCAGAAATACCTCCCGGTGATGTATATATGAAACTATTCCTTTACAACTGACTTGAATATTTTCCACACATAATCACTAAGCCCCTTCTGTGTTTTGTTCGTTTTGTAATGGCGATGCTATTCAGAAGAAAAAAAGACGAGTGTTTTGACGAGGTGCCAGAAGTAAGTACACACCCACATTAATGATGAAGAGCACACAGGGCTTCTGTTTCGGCGGTAGTTTCCGCACTACTGCACCGTGTGTGACAGAGGTGTATACTTATAACTTATCCAGTTCATGTGTAAATAAACTCAGCTGGTCAGGTCGACTGTGTACATGGCTACAGACGACTCACAGCTGGTCGTTAGAACACTTGGCAGAGAGTTTCCAGGTCCCCAGCTGATGCAGATGACCATTGGGTTGGGATGTGCTTGTGTTACTTTGATAACTTGTAATTAGTATCAATATTTTCGCGGATTACGTCGAGGAAATCTACACCAGCTGCAATTATTACGTAATAAGACAAAAATCCGCTTCTCAATATCCTAAGGAATGAAGATGTTATCTGTAGTTACGCAGTAAACAACAACAGCTTCGTAATTAGATAACGAAAAACAATATAGCAGAAAACTTAGGAACTAATTTAAGATTTTCGGTTGATTCCTGAACACAGTAATTTGGAATTGAGAGTATTTTTGAATGTCACACATATTGTATAATAAAATCTGACACGTGTGGTTACATGAGTTACAAAAGATACCTATTGTACTTTAATTTTTGATCTATATTATATTTTTACTACTCATTTTGCTACACACAACACTATAGTCATTGTTAAAACGGGAGAAATATACATGAATCTGGATCACATTACTGAAACATTGATACAAAAACAAGGCTCCTGTACTGGCTTAACGCTTATCTTAGCTCTCCGGACTCAGTGATTTTATACTGCCTTAACGCTTATCTTAGCTCTCCGGACTCAGTGATTTTATACTGCCTTAGCGCTTATCTTAGCTCTCCGGACTCAGTGATTTAATACTGCGCTTATCTTAACTCTCCGGACTCAGTGATTTTATACTGCCTTAACGCTTATCTTAGCTCTCCGGACTCAGTGATTTTATACTGCCTTAACGCTTATCTTAGCTCTCCGGACTCAGTGATTTTATACTGCTCAAACTCTTATCTTATCTCTCCGGTCTCGGTGATTTTATACTGCTTTAACGCTTATCTTAGCTCTCCGGACTCAGTGATTTTATACTGAGCTTATCTTATCTCTCCGGACTCAGTGATTTTATACTGCTTTAACGCTTATCTTAGCTCTCCGGACTCAGTGATTTTATACTGAGCTTATCTTAACTCTCCGGACTCTGTGATTTTATACTGCCTTAACGCTTATCTTAGCTCTCCGGACTCAGTGATTTTATACTACCTTAACGCTTATCTTAGCTCTCCGGACTCAGTGATTTTATACTGCCTTAGCGCTTATATTAGCTCTCCGGACTCTGTGATTTTATACTGCTCAAACTCTTATCTTAGCTCTCTGACTCTTGTGCCATATAGAGAGTCTTCACATACTACGTACCAGACCGTGTTTAATGTATCGCTCTACTGGGCCTGTATAGCTATAAACTTAAAGAGTCGCTGGAGGGGAAAACTTTAAATCAAAAGTATTTTCTACTACTCTGGTTCTATTCAATAGTAAAAGTATGGCAGCTGTGTACGTTTATAAGTATATGCCCAAAACTGTACATGAAATAGTATATCTGCATCTCATTCATATAGACACGAATGTGTATGTAGTTCTCTTCTTTTATTTTACACAGTGCTATTTTAAATGCTTAAAAAAGTTGATTCATTCTTTGCAACAACAGTAACGAAAAACAAACAAAAAAACAGAAAAAGATAAATAAAAACATTAAAAATAAAATTCTACCAAGAAAATACCTGTAAAGCAGCGAGTTAATTGTTGACGAATCTATACTGAACAAAGGTTGGTTTCTATTTAGTCTGTATTATTTTGACATCTAGACACTGTTTTAAAGTTTACTTTCTGTTGAAAATAACGCACCTACATCGACCTATGACGGATAAATTGTAAGTAGAATACACACATACACATCCTTCAGGCATGCGTTTGTTTACTGCTGCACTAGAGGTAATTACAAACCTACCAACATCAGTAAGCTATTGTTTCGGGTTAGCGAGCATGCTGGAAAGCTGGTATATACTTATAATTGTTGATATTTTAGTCATGCAGACTGAGGGTTAACAAAGAAATGTGTTGTTTAATGTGTAATGTTCTACCTGTGTGACCTTCTACCATGGAATCTACGAAACTACAGTACAATTAGCCATTACAAAATGTTTTGTGAACAGTTGTAGTAGTTTTGAGTAAAAGTGTATATTTCGACGCCTTAATCAAGTAAAACATTAGGAAAACAAATCGTAAAGTTTATGAGGTTTGTTAAATTAAACATGTTTTTTCTTTTTCATAATAAAAACAAAGCGTGTAGGGACTCATATAAATATATTCGCCGACCTTCATCTTTTATTTCTGATCTGAATCTTTTGAGAGGTTGACCTATTCAGGCCTTTATGTAATATTCTATTAACAAATTTTTATTTCAAAGGTGGTCAGCAGTGACCTTTAATATGCATCGATGACCAGTATGATCATATTCGGAACTATGTTGTGTATATGAAAACGGTGTAGAATTTCAGGAGATATCTTTAACAATAGCATATTATTTAAAAGAGAGGTCAATGGTAATCTTTGACCTTTAACCTTAAGCGATGACGATTAAAACTCAACGAGGTGTAGACCTTGGTTATCTGATCGGACGCACGTAGGAATGCACGGACGGACGAACATACATACTGACAAATGATTACTAACCCTAACCCTTACGTAAGGAGGGGTAGAAGAAATGGAAACATAGTCGCTGGAAAAGAGTGATGTCGAGGGTGTGTTGATTAATGACAGTTCATTGATGTCAAGGGTCTGTTGATTAATGACAGTTCATTGATGTCAAGGGTGTGTTGATTAATGACAGTTCATTGATGTCAAGGGTGTGTTGATTAATGACAGTTCATTGATGTCAAGGGTGTGTTGATTAATGACAGTTCATTGATGTCAAGGGTGTGTTGATTAATGACAGTTCATTGATGTCAAGGGTGTGTTGATTAATGACAGTTCATTGATGTCAAGGGTGTGTTGATTAATGACAGTTCATTGATGTCAAGGGTGTGTTGATTAATGACAGTTCATTGATGTCGGGGGTCTGTTGATTAATGACAGTTCATTGATGTCAAGGGTCTGTTGATTAATGACAGTCCATTGATGTCGGGGGTCTGTTGATTAATGACAGTTCATTGATGTCAAGGGTGTGTTGATTAATGACAGTTCGTTGATGTCGGGGGTCTGTTGATTAATGACAGTCCATTGATGTCAAGGGTCTGTTGTTGATAAATGACAGTCCATTGATGTCGGGGGTCTGTTGTTGATAAATGACAGTCCATTGATGTCGAGGGGCTGTTGATTAATGACAGTTCATTGATGTCGGGGGTCTGTTTATTAATGACAGTTCACTGATGTCGGGGGTCTGTTGATTAATGACAGTTCATTGATGTCAAGGGTCTGTTGATTAATGACAGTTCACTGATGTCGGGGGTCTGTTGATAAATGACAGTTCATTGATGTCGGGGGTCTGTTGATTAATGACATAGTTCATTGATGTCGGGGGTCTGTTGATTAATGACATAGTTCATTGATGTCGGGGGTCTGTTGATTAATGTCAGTTCATTGATGTCGAGGGTCTGTTGATTAATGACATAGTTCATTGATGTCGGGGGTCTGTTGATTAATGTCAGTTCATTGATGTCGGGGGTCTGTTGATTAATGACATAGTTCATTGATGTCGGGGGTCTGTTGATTAATGACAGTTCATTGATGTCAAGGGTCTGTTGATTAATGTCAGTTCATTGATGTCGGGGGTCTGTTGATTAATGACAGTTCATTGATGTCGAGGGTCTGTTGATTAATGACAGTTCATTGATGTCGGGGGTCTGTTGATTAATGACAGTTCATTGATGTCAAGGGTCTGTTGATTAATGACAGTTCATTGATGTCAAGGGTGTGTTGATTAATGACAGTTCATTGATGTCAAGGGTGTGTTGATTAATGACAGTTCATTGATGTCAAGGGTCTGTTGATTAATGACAGTTCACTGATGTCGGGGGTCTGTTGATTAATGACAAAGTTCATTGATGTCGAGGGTCTGTTGATTAATGACAAAGTTCATTGATGTCAAGGGTGTGTTGATTAATGACAGTTCGTTGATGTCGGGGGTCTGTTGATTAATGACAGTCCATTGATGTCGGGGGTCTGTTGTTGATAAATGACAGTCCATTGATGTCAGGGGTCTGTTGATTAATGACAGTTCATTGATGTCGGGGTCTGTTGATTAATGTCAGTTCATTAATGTCAAAGGTCTGTTGATTAATGACAGTTCACTGATGTCGGGGGTCTTTTGATAAATGACAGTTCATTGATGTCGGGGGTCTTAATCAACTTTTAATATACACTTGATGTTGTCTTAATGACAGTTCATTGATGTCCTGTTGATTAATGACATAGTACTTTCAAATCTAAATTATGTCGACTGTTGATTAATGACAGTTCATTGATGTCGTGTGTTGATATTTTCACTTTCAAGTATAGTGAAGACCTCTTGTCTTTAATGTGTTGAACAGGAGACTTCTTGACCACGTTGACATTATCATCGTATATACTTTTAATATAGAATTGAAAATCAAAGACATTTTCACTTTCAAGTATAGTGAAGACCTCTTGTCTTTAATAACAGGAGACTTCTTGACCACGTCCATCGTATATACTAATCATCAGCCGCTTATCTCGAAATCAACACCGGTAGCTTTACAATAAGCTGTATGATAAATGTGATGATTTCAATGTCTCTATTGTGAAATTTCCATTTCCGGATAACAACATTGCATCTCCAACCTATTGCCTTACATGTCGCAGTTGATTCGGTATGCAAGTACCTGATCCAATGACCACGATTTTCATGCAAGAAGTCGGTGTAGGTTGATGAAAAGTATGGACAAGTCTTACGTCATAATATGGATATATTTATTTGTGTGATTTGGAACTGGAAATGTCTGATGCTCACAAGATTGCTTGTTGGTTCATTCTCGTTTGAAAATTCGACATTACTTGGTGGCAAGATTTAAATGGCAAGTGTAGTCGATGTTTGCCATTTTTCTAGGCGTTTAGAATAACTCAACCAGGAGCTCCCAGTATCAGTCGGCAGATAGATGCTTAGTAACATACAAACCAGAGGATCACTCGGCAGATGGACG